AATATTTTTGTCGAGCACAAAATTTATTGCAAATAAAGTATTGGCATGACTTGCCGAAAAGGTTAAAAAAAAAAAAAAAACTATATTGAAGCAATATATAACAATTTATTAACTAGTAAAAAAAAAGATTTAAAAATTAGTTTAAATAATATTTATTAATTTAATCTGTTTTATATCAAAATATAATTCTAGATAGTAACAGAAAACAATATATTTCAGGTCTAATGATCTAATATAGTGATTAGATTGTCAAACTACTATATAATAGATCTGAAATCAAATACTATACAGCAACAACTCTTCCTAACGATCTCTAAAACCAAAATAATGATAAAAAACAAAAACTTTTATATATATAATAATACTCTATTTTCTAATATAATATTTACGAATAAGACTGGAAAAACCAGAAGTTCAATAAAATATATTCTTTTGTTGAAGAGTAAGCTATGAGCTATTCATAGATTATTAGTGCTTTTATTTTTTTTTATTTTTTATTTTTTGTTAAAGCGGTTTATATTGCTGAAGGAATTTTATTAGAATTGTTAATAGGATTATACATGGATAATCCCTACTATTTGTAATTATATGAAGAGTATACAACAAGCCACAAGTACAACTTTAGTTATGTCTATTTTAAGTAATCCACTGCACAGGCGTTAGGCCACCTAATTGGTTCTATACTATACTGCTATACCTATAACCTATCTGTGGGTTACCTATTTAAACACTCTGTTCATTAACCTATACAGATCTAACTTAACGTTATTGCAACATCTAACCACTTAAACTAGCTAGCTCGTTACAGATCTATTTATCCAAATGGCTTAGGTCTTCTTAGGATTCATTATACCAAATACATTACTAGTACTACAGAGCTAGTTAATCTCAAAGCAAACCTACTAGAGTGGTCCATACCTATTTTATGAATTCATCTAGTTTAGACCCTTGTAGATATTCATACAACCTCGGGTTCTACTGTGATCCTCTACCAGTTAGTTGACCTAGTACTTTTCTAGTATCTAGCTAGTCCCAGTTACCCTTTGCCCAGAGACCTTGAAACCTTCTACCTTTATTAGATCGAGTTTTCTTCACAGATCAAACTTTAGCTGATATAGTTCTGTTGGAAGGCTGTACTACTTCACTGACTCAGGATTTCTACTATGCAGGTCCCTTGCCTGTATATCCTATCAAGATTTATTCATATAATATTATGCTACACTTCCAAGTTCTAATAATTTGGTACAACTCAATTTACAGGAATACGCCCCCAGAAACGGATAGAGTTTAACGTAATATATTACAAGGTCTGAGAAATTATTCAAATTCATTGACAGTAGGATTTGAACTCCAGACCTATTGTATGGTGGTCCAACAACCTAGCCACTATACTAGGTCATTAGACTAGATTATTAGTGCTTTTATATATTGTATATATTATATATCTTGTATATATTTTATATACTTTATTGTTAGAAATAAGCTCTGTGGATATAAAAGTTAAAGAAAATACTTGGATAGAGTCGAGTATAATACCACTCCTTACACTTTTCAAGTTTATTTTGGATATCCTTACTCTCACTTCTATACTTTTGGTTGGTCTTGGGAACGGTTTTGACCGTTTGGCGAACTTGGAGTATTTTTTGTACGAAAAGTGGGAAATGGAGCTCACCCTCTACCAAAGATCGGCATGCATATCATTGATGAATTTGGAAGTAAGCTTATGGTGTGACAACAACAAACACATGTGTGTTTTGGAGTTAGCATAACAAATACGTGATTTTATTTTGCAATGTAAACTATGAGTTTACTGTAATAATAATGAGCCATCACGTGTTCGACGAAATAACCAAATCGTTATCGAATATTAGAGATATTTGCAAATAAATGCATTTTGCATTTATAATTTTTAACTACCTAGTCTTGAACAGGATTGTATGTTTAGGTTATGATTCTTATGAGATGCTTTTTATTTTCTTTTTGGATTTCAGCTAACGTTGGTAGTTGCATTTTACAATTTGGACATATTTTTTTTCGAGTTTTGATATTTTGCATATTGCAATTGGGACATATTTTCATCTTAGCTGTATTGGTCAGAGTAGACGCTACAAAAGAATCAATAGCATTAGTAGATGATAATTTTTCTTCTGACAATAATTCTAGAATCCCAGAAAGATAAGAATATAACTCCTCATTAATGACTTCCTGCATCTGGGTATTGACACTAAAAATTTTATCAAACTGTGATTTACTAAGAGAATCATATGCCCAAGATGAATTAGTATATTGAATCTTGTTTTCTAATGACATATTAAAAGCAACAAAACTGGTTACTATATGGTAAGTAACCATATTAAACTCTCGATCTAAATAATTCTTCTGTCCTTTTTGCTCATTGTCAAATGCGAGAAATAAAAGACCTTCAGGTAACAGTTCTTTTTGTTTTGATAGTTCATTTTGCCACTTTAGAAATCGATTATAACTTCCACAACTTGTTATATAATTATCTATATTAATAACTATCTTTGATCGTGCAACTATATATTTAATAGCCGAGGCAGCAAGATGAATTTCCGACACATATTTTCTATGCTGAGCCCTATAAATTGAATTAACAATGACAACGGCTTTGAAAAATTTTTTTAGACTTAAGATATCAGTAGCGTAATTATTCTGAACTAAAGTCTCAACAAACTTGACAATAACTTTATTACGACCATTGAGCCATTCCCATGGGCTATATACCATAAGATTATCTAAAAAAAACCTACTATTATTTTGAATCAATAAATCTATATCATTTAATAATGATACATGTTCTGCTTTAGCTATTTCAATAATTGTATCTATACGTTTTTGCTGACTAGCAAACCTTGAATTCCACTGCTCAGTAAGAACTTGATTACTTTGATATACCTTTTCATACAAATTTTGCATCACAATTATACCTTCATGGGACCCTTGTAGTTGCTTTTTTAATTCTTCTAGTTCATTTCTTTGATCTTTGAGATACTGACATATTTGTTTAATTTGACTGTTGAGATCTATTATTAATTGCGATATTTGCTGATTTTCTTGTTGAATAGTTTCTAAAAGCCTTTTAGTTCTATCAAGTTCAATCGTTAAATTGCCTTCGTTTTCTAGTTAGGATCTTTTGTTTTCTTGAGAAGAACCTGAGGAACCTACAAGAGACTCATAAAACTGAGGATTAACAAAAAACTGATTATAATGTACTTCACAAATTAAATATTTTTCTAATGAGTAAGGAAGGTTAGTAAGTTCGGGAAAATAACTATAATAATGTTGAAGTTATTCAACAGTTTTCTGACCCTTAAAACCTCGCCATTTTTGAAGTTCTTTCATTCTACAATAATATAATCCAATTCTACTATATTTTTCAATGAGACCTGCGAAAATATATCCTAGTTCTTCCATTTTTGAATTATGGTAGCTAAACAATATAGTAATATATAAAGTTATTTAATGCGCTAGCAAAGATGTGTTTTTTTATTTCTTTTCACTTAACATGTGAAGAAACTATTCATAAAATTACGTTCTCATTTACCTTTTTGAAAATAACTTACTATGTAGGATTATTTGGGATTGTCAAAGCTTGTCATTTTTATTATATATTCGAATATCATTTAGTAATAAATAGATATATAAAATAATATAAAACTTCTGCTCCGAATACGAGTACAAAAAGATGTGTGACAACTAATCAAATATATGGATTTGTTCATAGATCATTCTAGAACTCAATTTCTAAATTTGGTATATCCCTGGACTGTATTGGATCCATAACGTTACAATTTATTGCAAGTTTATATTATAATATTTATAACTCTTGGAGTCTTATTTTATCTAAAAATAAACTTAATATCCTTAATGGATTTATAACCAAAAAAGATCTTTCATATAAAAATGAATAACAAATTTTAAAAAACTTATTCATGAGATTAAGGAAATTGAATTGAAAGATTAAAAGGGCCAAAAAAGACTGCAAGAAATAGAGGTTCTCTGACTGTGGGTTCTGTTTAATATTAAGCCTCTTTTTGTTTGTTTATCTAGCTTATTTTTACACTTTATAAAAATTGTCAAAAATTCTATGTTGTTAGTTTTAAATTATCAAATTAGTTTTTTTAGAAGATAGAATTATATACTGTATCGTGTAAATGTTTTCAGATTTACAAGTTAGGCCTAAGAAGTAAGAGAAATATACTTATAAGAATTAATATATTTTTTGATTAATTTATAGAATGGGTAAAAAGTTTAGGTAATATTTATGAGCCAGATATATGAATTTAAATAATATGATATGTTTATAGAGGTCTGGTTTCTTTAAAAAATTTCAACAGTTAATTTATTTTTGATCTTATATTAGTCTCTGATGAGTTTCTTCTTGATAAATGAGTTATATAATTAATGATAAAATCAGTATAAGAAGAGCTAATTATAATTTACAATTCCACTTTCTTTTAGCATTTTCTTCTCCTTTTTTAGTTACTAGTAAAAATAACTATACATGCTTAATGACTTACTTTTTAGCACAAGTATATAGTAATTTCTTTTTATAACAATTACTTTATTGAGTATATTTTGTAAACCTTACTCACTCTAGCTATTATTTTGCTTTTAATAAAGTATTAAAGGTTTTCAGAGTAAAGTTTGTTAAACAAAATATCAAAACAAATATAATAGATAATGAGTAGCTTAAATTACACATATCATCTGTTCAATCAGAAAAAGATAGAATACAAATACTTTTGTCTGAGTATATAGGTAATATAGTTATAGTTAATAAGGATCATAATATATAATCATGAAAAAAAATATTATAGAAACTTGCAGAAAACTTAACTTCTGCATTTCAATTATCAGATTTAGCAACTCATAAACTTTTTAAAGATTTAAAAGAAATAAATGAACCAGGCTTTTTCTGTATTACAATATATTATATACAAGGCTTAAATAGGCTAAATTCAATCTATTATCAAGAAGTTTTGAAAACTAAGAAATGAATTGTCAAAGAACAAAGAAGGCATAATATAAATGTTTATAAGTTTTTGAGTTTAGTAAAGAGAAATAATAATAAAAATAAAAAAATATTAGCATTTATATTAATAATAGTAATAATATAAATTTATTTTCTACTAAGTATATATGCAAATTAACAAGTGGTAATACAAAAAAAATTCTTTACAATTACTTACTCTTGTTACTTTTTCTGAAGATGATCAATTACTATACAATGTTCTTTATGAACTTCAAGATACAGAAACAGGATAAACTAAAGAATATGTTATGATATATTAGCAAAACTATCATAATAAAAAATAAACAAAATAAGTACTAATATAGTATAATATAAGTTTAACTTTCAAAAATAATAAACTTTATAGAATTAAAGAATTTAAAATGTAATTAGTCTTAATATTAAAATAATTAATCTTAGTAAACAGATATTAGTTTGTATATTAAAGACTTTATTAAAGCAATTTAAATTAATATACTATTATAAATTAGTCTAATAAAATGTTTTAGTATATAAACTTTATTGGATTAGAGTTATATTATAATTACCTTATGAGAAATATTTTAACAAATATTACTATGTTTATGTTAGTTTTAACTTATATACTTTTTTTGAATTATTATTGCAAATAGTTTGCAAATAAAAATAGTATATATCTAACAAAAAAGATCTCTATTACTATACAAATTAAAATTAAAATTAAAATTCTTTTTTAAATAAATATATACACTTATGATCAATGAACTTTAATTATATACTTTTAATATTTATGATAGTAACAGTATTTGCTTTTTTATATAGCATAAATTTAAAAATAATTCATAGTTAAATCTATCTTTACTTTTTTGAAGAAATAATTTAAATTTATATAAATTGTTTTTTATATTATATCAGATATAAATTAATATTTTTTTTATTAATCTATAATACAATTTCTGCTACATATTCTTTATTAATAATAGTTGAAAATAGTTTAATTGATCAAGCTAGTAATTCAGTTTTTAAAATAATATGCAGTAGTAAAATTGTTGATATATTTTATGATCAGGTAATAAATAGTTTTTATTTAAATCTTTCCAAAGTGTTTCTTCAAGAATTTGAGAACTTGGTAATATATAATTTCTGATATCTTTGCTAGATATTTGAAAGTATCAGATATGAGATATGCAAATTTTCAAAGTAACTTTTAGAGTCATAAAATCTTTATCAGACTAATTATTGGGATTAGAAGGTAATTCTTTAGGATTTCAACGATCTCTAAAACCAAAATGATGATAAAAAGGAAAACTTTTATACATATAATTATACTCTATTTTCTAACATAATATATATGAGTGAGACTGAAAAAACTGGAAGTTTAATAAAATATGTTCTTTCATTAAAGAGTAGGCTACGAGCTGTTCATGGATTATTAGTACTTTTATATATTGTATATATTATATATCTTGTATATATTTTATATACCTTATTATTAGAAATAAGCACTGTGGATATAAAAGTTAAAGAAAATACTTGAATAGAGTCGAGTATAATACCACTTCTTATACTTTTCAAGTTTATTTTAGATATCCTTACTCTCACTTCTAAACTTTTAGTTAGTCTTGAGAACAGTTTCGACTATTTAACAAACTTAGAGTATTTTTTGTACAAAAAGTAGGGAATAGAGCTCACCCTCTACTAAAGATCTACATGCATATCATTGATGAATTTGGAAGTAGGCTTATAGTGTGACAACAACAAACACATATGTGTTTTGGAGTTAGTACAACAAATACATAATTTTATTTTGCAATATAAACTACAAGTTTACTGCAATAATAATGAGTCATCATGTATTCGACAAAATAACTGAATCATTATCGAATATTAGAGATATTTGCAAATAAATGCATTTTGCATTTATAATTTTTAACTACCTAGTCTTAGATAGGATTATATGTTTAGATTATAATTCTTATGAGATGTCTTTTATTTTCCTTTTCTTTCTTTTTGTTTTTGTTTTTGTACTTTTTTCTTTTAGCTTGTTAGGTTTTTATCTTGTTAGCATGTTTTCCTAACTTTGCTTTGAATATTATATGTAGTATGTAGCTTTGCTTTTCACTATATGTAACAATTTTATTCTACTTTTATCAATATCCGTCTTCCTAGATAGTCAGACAAAATTATCTAGACTTCTTTTTTTCTTTATATTAAGGAGGTTTTTAGTGCGACAGGTCACGTTTGACTATGTATGCAAATGGAGTGTCAAGCAGTGCTTTCCATTAGGAAATTAGATGTATAGGGAGAGACTATAGGTTCCTGTATTAAGTTAAATCTTATGCAGACTAGCTATCTATAACTCTTTATCTAATAAATGCGTAAAGCACAACTGTCAAAGGAAAAAAAAAAATAAAATAAACTAATTTAAAATACAATTCTAAACTAAGAATTTTAGTATATTTTTACTAGTAATAGAGATAAAATAATTTTATTATTATTAGAAATAGAATCAAATAATAAACCAATAAAACTAATTCAATATTTTTTATAAATTAGATATTAAACAAATGATACTTTAATATATTTAACTATAGTTATAAAAAAGAGAATTATTATAATAAATCTATATTTAACTAATTAAGTTTAAAATATATACTAAGCAATAATTATATTTTAATTACAAAATTAAAGAAAATAAAATTCAAAATACTTTTAGCATATATGTTATATTATTAAAGATAAAAAAATAAGGTTTTTTAAAAAGAATATTATAAGATTATAAAATTTTTAAAACTAATTAAGCAATAGAAATACTATAATAAATTTAGTTTTAACTATATAGTTTTATCATTAAAACTAAATAATATATTAATAATAGTATACTAACTCTTCTCAATGATCTCTAAAACCAAAATAACAACAAAAAAAAAAAACTTTTATACATATAATAATATACTATTTTTTAATGTAATATATATGAGTGAGACTAGAGAAATCAGAAGTTCAATAAAATGTGTTCTATTATTAAAGAGTAGGCTATAAGCTATTCATAGATTATTAGCACTTTTATATATTATATATATTATATATTTTATATATATTTTATATACCTTGTCATTGAAAACAAGCTTTTTGAATATAAGAGTTAAAGAAAATACTTGAATAGAATTAAGTATAATACTACTTCTTATGCTTTTCAAGTTTATTTTAGAT